AAAAAAAAAAAAAAAAAACTAAAACAAATAAAGATAATTAAACACGCTAAGTTATGACTTTAACAAAAAAATATTATTTTGAAAAGTCATATCACAACATTTTTTATTTCATAAATTTTCAGCCTTCAACTAACTTTTCAATTACATTAATTTAGGATATTTGGTAACATAATCTTCTATTGGATTACTATAATGTCACATTTCCATTGAAAATGAGAAGATCTACCTTAAAGTGTCATAATAGATTTATGTGATTTAATGTTTTTTTTTTTTTATGTTTCCATGTACAAAGAAGTACATTCAAATAAATATACAAATCCAAATTTCAAATATGTAATCCAAAAAAATAAAATAAAATTTAGATCCAAAATAAATCAAATTAACCTGTACTTTTTTTCCAATATGACTTTGACCCCACAATCCATACATACGCACGCAATTTACACGATATTATCAAATTCTTTATCGTTCTTTCCAAGACGACAGTTTTGGTCTCGGCGTAGGTAGAAAAGCAGGAAAAAATGGCCTCAACAATGGTCTCCCCACTGGAAACTGAAAACCCACTGAAGCTTTCCATTTCTTGAATTTAGGGTTTTTTTTTTCCATCCAATTCCTGTGCCCCCTCGTGCCTCCATTGCCGATCCCATCTGCTGCCGCCGTGCCCACTTGCCTCTTCTTGAACCCTAATTCATGCTCCGTAGTTCTGGGTTTTCTGAAATTTGTTGATTTTGTGTAGGGGAGAATTAATTTAGTTCGATGGGGGTTGGAGAAAGGTGAGATCTTCGGGCTTTGACGGAGCTTTCGAGAATCGAGGTGTTTTTTGATGGAGAATTCGGGTCCGGTGGTACTTGATATTAGCTCCGACGAGGAGGCGGATTTTGGAGGGGCCAGCAAAGGCGGCGGCTTTGGAGGGCGTGGGTTTTTGGACCGGGATGATTGTGAGTGGCTGTCGGAGATTTTGTGTGAAGTGGGTGGGAATAATAAGGGCGATGATTCCGATGACGTCGTGTTGATCGGTGAGACTTTTCAAAATCCTCCCAAGAAATCGAGGTGGGATCCTTTGAGGCCTTGTGGTAAATTTGCCGGTGGTGGTGGTGGTGGTGCTGCTGCTGATGATGATGATTGTGTGGTTTTGGAAGGTGATCCTGATAAACCGGTGGCCGTGGCTGCACCTGCACAGACGGCAAACGGTGTTAAGGGAGATGGTGATGATGGAGATGATGTGGAAATTGTTGCTGAAAAAGGCGAGGTGGTGATTTTCTTTTTTCTTGTTGTTTTTCTCTCTTTTTTTTTTTTTTTTTTTTTTT